CACCATTGAATTTCATTTTGTTAGATAGCGCCCAGTGTTCAAGTCTGTCCAGGTCCTCCTGTATCCTCACCCTGTCTTCTGGAGTGTTGGCTATTCCTGCCAGCTTGGTGTCATCTGCAAATTTGATGAGTTCCCCATCTATCCCCTCGTCCAGATCGTTGATGAAGATGTTGAAGAGCACTGGGCCCAGAACAGAGCCTTCCTTCCTTCCTTCCTTCCTTCCTTCCTTCCTTCCTTCCTTCCTTCCTTCCTTCCTTCCTCTCCCTCCCTCCCTCCCTCCCTCCCTCCCTCCTTCTCCTTTCTTTTATTTTCCTTTATTTCTTTAGCCTTCACCTTTGCCTCAGTGTTGACTCCTGGTGACTGTCTGAGCAAATCCCTGCAGTTTTCTTTGTTTCTTCACATTTAGTCAAAAGGTCTCTGTGTCGATTGCCATCTTATTATTCAGCCGCATTTTCAACTACCCTTCAGCTTTTCTTTTTCCCAGGTCCGTTTTCCTTCACCCATGTGACCCCTCCTTCTTTTTCTCCTCTGTTTTGAAATGTTTTATATAGCCTGGATCACGGTTGCAGCTTGGATTGATTGGGTTTACTCAATTTTTTAACCCCCCCCTGAGATCCTCCTTGGTAAATAGACAACGAAGCTTCAAGCTTCTTGTTTACTGAGTTGTGGCGTGTTGAAGGGAGCAGGAACTGCAGAAAGAGTCTGTAAAAACAGCATCCATCTATAAGGTGCTGATTGCATTTTCAGATAGAAATTATATTGGAGGTAATGTAGTTTTCCATGCCTGCTGGGTGAGGATTCTGCTATAAAGCAGATTTAACTAGGGAGCATGGCAAAGAAAGATAGCCTTTATCTTATTAAAGGAGGAATAATTGCAGTCATATATCTGGCCCAATGGCAGTTGTGTGAGTGAAATAGCCAAAGAGATACCTAAATTCTATTTATCCCATTCCCTTCCCTCCCAATAACTGCAATTATAGATATTTATGCTTTTGACATTATAGATATTTATGCTTTTGACATTCAAATTTCAAATAAGTAGCAGAGACCAAGAAAACAAGCTGCAGATTTAGTCCAGAAGCCTTGTCCCTGGACATCACAGTAGCAGCCTGGCCATTGACCCACAACTCTGCATAAGGCATACAGGAATATTCAGGGCTCCCACAGACACCGCTCTTGCAACCATGGAGATAATAAAACTTCATTTCCCTTTTGCAACCACTGTTGAAAATCTTTTCTGCTAAATAAAACCATCTGTCTTGAATTAGACCAAGTAGTGATTTATTCCACCAGGACAATTAATGATTAAAAAAAACAGCAACAGTCCAAAGATTTGGGTTGATAGCTGCAACTCCTTACAATAATTAAAGTGGATTATTTTGTTTACTGGCTCTTACTGTGTCAATATAAATCACTTTTAAGTTGAGAATTGCTCAAAATCTGCCACATCCTTCTTGGGACCTCATACAGACAAACATCTGTGCAGGTGCTGTCTGTTGCACAGTTCTCCTGTATGACACCAGCACTTTGGGTAATAATGTTAATAATAATAATGGAATTATCAAACATCCAATTAATATTTGATTTATTCTTGAGTTGATCTTTGCACTGAGGCTGGAAGATTTCTTACCCCTTGTAGAGAGCTTAGAGGATGGCTTTGACAGAGAGAGGGAGATCTATTACCATAGCAAATAAGAAAACATGGCTTAAGTCTATACATATATAAAGATTTCTGAAAATGTATAAGGCAGACACAAGCACATAAAAGAGGGAGGAGGGAAACACATTCAGACTTGCAAGATTCTCTTATTATAGCCATTCTAATCAGAATAGTTTTAGGGTTATGTAGTGTCTGTTTCTTTATTTGATCTACTTTGTAGGGCCGACATTTCTTCTGTCTTAGTGTAGTGATTATGTTGAGTCATAACACATATTTCTTGGCATTCATTTTGGAGAATGAGGGTGAAAGTTGTGTTGTTCATGTGTGTATGCATGTGTATGCATGTGTACGTGAGCTAGCATTGCAAATATTATTCTTTAAATCTAGTACACGTTGGAACATTATTCCAAGAAGATGGGGCTCTACCTCAGCCTTATCTTGAAGCCGAAGTTGGAAAAGGTTTTATATTTGCTATATTGTCTGAGTGAATAGGCTTGGATTGCTTAGAAAAAGCTTGTTGACGGGAAGAAAGAAGTAGAGTCTACATCTAAATAATTCTTAGGAATTACTCATTTTGTGTACCTCATGCAAATAATATACTCACTTCAATCGCTGGCATTTCTTCTTGAAAAAAATATGGAATAGTTGATGAGAAAGGACTGATATTGTGGAGCATTACTGGATTATTCTTATTTTATTAAACTTGTATGTCACCCAACTGCCAATGATTTGGGGCAGCTTACAACCATCAAATAAAGAAATTACAATAAAATCAATAAAAGCTAGCAAGTGTGACAGACCAGATGGAATAAAACGAGGACCTCATTCTCCCTTGCCAAAATCCTGGATGAAGGACTAAGTCTTCACTGCTCTTTTGAACAACAGCAGAGACTCCATCCATTTCTTCAGGGGAACCTCATGTAGTGCTGCTATAGAGAAGACACACTTCCGGGATCCCAATAGATGGCATTGTTTAATTAAAGGAATTGGAGTGTCCAACCCTATCAGATCCGATCTGTCAAGCAGATGCTATTGGGGGGGGGGGAAGGCGGTCTTCAAGTAATAAGGTTCTTCACTATGTAGGGTTTTATAGGTAACAAATAGCAACTTGAAACAACTGGCAACCAGTGAAATTCATGAAGAAGAGGTGTTCTACTGCATCCTGGACCAATTGAAATTTCCTGGTGGTTTTCAAGGGCAGCACCATGTAGAATGCATAGCAGTAGTCAAGCCATGAGTTGACATGGGGATGGGTGAAGGTTTCACCTCCTCCCATTTTATTTTATAATATTTTATTTTATAATATTCTCCAGATGTTCCAAATTAAATTGCATAAAGTAGCTTTGCTGGATTCAGCCTTGAGGAGTTTTTAAATGTACACTCCCCTTTCTTTTGCACACATGCACATATACACACACAATCCTATAGGACAGTGGTTCTCAACCTTTTTAATGCCGCGACCCCAACCGGTCGTAAGTCGAGGACTAAACCGGTCGTAAGTCGAGGACTAAACCGGTCGTAAGTTGAGGACTACCCAACCGGTCGTAAGTCGAGGACTTTCCCTGCCTGGGAGCACCGCGCATGTGTGGTTCCGCCCCCTGCGCCAGTCAAGGCATAGCTGGCAAGCGGCAGAGACGGAGCAGGCCGACCACCAGCTGGCCCAGCCCAAGGGAGGTAAGGCACCCGCCGGAAAAGGGGGAAAAATGGCGGACAAAAAAAATGGCGGACAAAAAAAATGGCGGACAGCCTTGCTTGGCGACCCGCGTGAAATGGTCGATCGACCCCAAATGGGGTCCCGACCCACAGGTTGAGAACCACTGCTATAGGAAATCTTCTTCGAGAGTTCTTGAGTTTGCCAATTCTTGGAACAGAATGTTGCCTTTTAATAACTTACACTGTTGGGTCTTAGTTGTCCCACATTGGTACTAAATCCATAACACAGCAGTGACTGTGGAATGCGGAAGAGAATACACAGTAACAAATAATTTTGAGCTTCTGAGCTTTTATTATTATTTTAGTGTCAGCTTCTGTTTTTATTGCTTGATGTTCACCACTCAGATTCTAGGGAGGAGAGTAGAAAACAAATGTGAGTACTATAAATAAATAAATATTGTCTAGCTCAGCAATAATATTAAACCTGCCTGCCTTGTTCTTTGATCTCAGAATAGGGAAAGAATGATTATCCTCGATACTTCTCTTCTTAGATTAGTGGTGAAGTCACCCCTAATCTAATTGACTATTGACTTCTATCAATTAGAAGAGAAGTCCTCCCACCCTAACAGCCATAGACTAGAGAGCAGCCTAGGCATTCCTTCCTGGACAAAATCTGAATTTCTGTGTACTACAATGGTGTAATCAAGATAGGATCCTCTGGAGATCTCCTTAGTCTACAGCTGACTGTATTGCTGATACAGAACTTAGCATAAACTATAGACCAGTGTTTCTCAACCTTGACAATTTTAAGGCATGTGGACTTCAACTCGTAGAATTCCACAGCCAGCAATGCTGGCTGTGGAATTCTGGGAGTTGAAGTCCACATGCCTTAAAATTGTCAAGGTTGAGAAACACTGCTATAGACTTACAGTCTGAAGCCCCAGGGCTGCATGCAAATCCCGTACAACTTCCTGGGGATCTTGAAAATTAATGAACAAATTCTGCAGTGCTCAGAAGAGCCACCCAATCACTTCCAATAAGGTCAAAATGAAGTAGGAAGCCAGTTGAGTGACCGTGGACCAGTCATTCTCTGAGCCCTAAGAAGGCAAACCAAATCTAAAAAATGTTGCAAAGAGAGCTGCAAGGACATGTCCAGGCAATTCCCGGGAATCAAAATTGACTTAAAGTCAGATATTCACACCCAGAAATTATATCAGGAAGAGAAGTCAAATTCAAAGATGTTCATTTCATGCTGAACCATGTAGCAAAAATGTGAAACCTGAGAAATATTATGAACTTACCACACATGGACTTTAAGTCTGTGGGTTTGTGGATGTTTCCTTATTTATTTTGTTTGGGATATGTTTTAGGGTTGTTTTCTTTTTTCCTTTCTAAATATTATAGGATGGATGAAAGGATAGCGGGGTAGGGCTATAGAGATATAAACGATGCAATGTAATATACACTATATAGAGAGAACATATTATATACTCTAAAAAGTAAAAAGCAAGAGGTCTTGCTGGGCTGAATTTGTCTCCTAACAGATGTTCAATTAATTAAAGTCTAGCATTGTGCCTCTGCTGTTATGAATGCATGCTATGCATCATCTCCTTGGCTGCATGATGATAATAGACATCAATAATAGCATTGTCTGCATTTGCTCCTCTGCTTAGTTTAATCCAGATCCTCTCTGCTACGTTCAACATTCAGTGCAACCTTTCTTCCATTCTGTCCCTTTTGTGCAAACATGTTGTCTATTTTTAATTTTATTTAAATGCACATTTATTTTTAAAAAAATCAAAGTTAGAAGATAAACCAATTGAAAATCAGAAAAAGAAAATGGTCAGAAAGCAATAAAAGTAAAAAGTGGAGAAAAAAAATAAGGAAAACAGGAAAATAATTGTTACTATTTTGATATAGGTATGGATAGAAGAATGCATCAAAGTCTTATTCTAAGACTTTGTGTTTGCCTATGTTCTTTTGATAATCCCATATAATACTAATCATCAAATCCCAAAATCAACTTTTCATTTCTTTCTGTTTCTCTCAAAAAGTCCAATAATGGTTTCCAAGTAGAAATAAAATTTGCCAAAATCTTTCATCAAAGCTATCAATTTAGTCATCTCTGCTAATTCCACCAGCTTCACCATCCATTCTACCATTGTACGTATTTATGAGTCCTTCCACCTTTGAGCATATAAAAATCAAAATAAGCTTTCGACCTTTTTTTCATTTGATATTTTTGGCATGTAGATCCCCAAAACCAACTACAACTTTCAACTCAGAGAAAATTGCTATAAATAGTCCAGGCCACCTAATACTATTCCTTACTATTTTAAAGTACCCGAGTGTAAAGGAGCATCTGTTTGTTTAAGATCCCTGTAGTGTCATTTGCTTGTTCCAAATGTCACATGGAAGAAACATCAACTTCTTGCTCTCCTTGTTTTCGTAGAGATTATCACTTCGCAAAGCTGAGGACTCCCAGAGCAAACAGAAGAAAAGCGGTGATAATGTAAGAGAAAGGATTATCCGGCGGGCAGCTCTTGAATTTGAAGATGGCATGTATGGTATCCTTTAGCTACAGTGAAAGTTCTTTGCTTGCTTGTTTCTGAAGGCACAACTAAACAAGCAAAGTAGATACAAGCTGAATGGAACCTTAACTTAATTAATTAAAGCTAATTTGGGTATCGGCATTCCTCTACTTGCCAGCAACTTCATCAGTCCGGATATAACTGTGCATCTGCAGAGTGAAAATGGCATCCTTGGTTTGGTAAGGATAGAACACAGATAATACAGAAACCCATCCAGTAGCCTACTCCAGCCAAGGCCTTCCAGATAAACAGGACTACAGTTCCTGTCATACCCTTATGTAAAATGGGACCTGTAGTTCAGCTGAGGGCAACAATTTGTTGAAGGCTATTGTAAATATGGCTGGGAAGGTTAATACTTATGGATGAGTCCATCAAATATATGGTTAGAATAAACATTCAATATTTGTTATTTTTTGTTGTTGAATTAGGGACCCTATCCATCTGAAAATGAAGTTGACCCTGATCTCATCAATGCAGGTAACTCTTCCCCCCCTCTGTTGCTTACATTTCTATCTTGATTTTTCATTCAGAGAGATTAGTGCAACCTATTGTTTTACTCCAGATAGAATACATGGGGAGGACCAGGAGCAAATGTTCTGGATATAGAGATGTAGAAGCAGAAGTAGCTTTACCATAGGGGCACACTATTTTTTTTGAGCGAAATATCTACTTGGTCTTTTAGTAGTGTGTCATACACCATAAAGCTAACCCTAACCCTAACCTAATCCATGGCAAAGACTAAACTTAATGTCACTGCCACTTAAATATAGTTAGTAAGATTAAATTCCAACTAAGTATTTAAAAAACTTCCTCTTCTGTCTTCTGTCATATCAAAATAACAACTTTTGCGTGTTTGGGAACCAAGACATTCAGGATTCACACAAAATTAGGAGGATGTAGTCTACATGTACCTCACATGTTTTTTTGTTGCCAGTCACATTTCTTAACTCAATCTGGAGTATCTCTAGTAATTCTTAGCTATGGTCGCCAAGTTACAAAGTGAAAACATCCCAAATACCATTCTTCCTCCTCTCCCAATTTAGTACTGAATATCTCCATCCTGATAAACTACTATAATTATTACCTCAGTATTTTTCTCTCTAAGCTTCTCCTTAGGAGATGATTCTGCCTTTTCAAAACTTAATGAAACATGAGAGAGACTTGGTTCAAATGGAGATGGTTGAACTGGGCAGTGCTATTTCCTGGAGATTTTTCATCAGAGTCTCTGACTGATTCATGACGGTTTATTGTGGAACTATTCTCACACAGAGCTTTTCCTTTTTCTTGGTGTTCTTGGATCCTTCTCTCAATTGTAGTTCATACCTCCCTGTTCGTCACCCCAACAGTCCATTGAGGTAGCTGCCTCATGGCTTTGACCAAGCCTTATTTTTGAAAAAAGGACTTTAAACCAAACTTCCTGACTTCATTATTAGTACATTCAACTATAGTTCTTCAGCTCTTTTGAACTTCAGTTTCTGTACAGTATTTGTGCTAAAATAGCTGTGTTTAAAGATGAACCATGTAACTATCATTTTTCTGATTCACTGGCTTCATTTCTGCATTTCATAAAGAAAATAGTCAGCAGCACAGGATCTTTAGATGCCTGGACATTTGCAATACCCCACACCAAATCAAATTTAAAACATTTGATAAAAAATGCAAAGTATCAAGCGAGTTTAGCACTCTCTTTGGGGCAGATGCCAAATACTTGAAAAAGTACATGCTTTCTCATTTTGTACTCATTTTTTTCTCAAACACTGGAATAGGTGCCATGAAGGTGGTACACCTTCTCTGAACATTTTTTTTTGCCTTACTGAATACAGTAATCATTTTTTTTTCACAGTGAGGTACTGCAAGGAAATTCTATTTAATGCAGAGGGAATGGTTTTTCTTTCTGTACTAATTAAGAATCATAATAAGTAAAGTTGAAATGAGTTAAGCTGGCAGAATAAATTTCCATATCACCCTGGAAATTTCTCTGGTTTTATGCTCAATTTCTTTTTCAGGTAAAGAAACAGTCACTGCACTGCCAGGTGCTTCGTACTTCTCTAGTGATGAATCTTTTGCAATGATTCGAGGGTTTGTAATAATTATCTTAATTTTACTCATTGTCCAAGGCACTGTCCCAACTGCTAGTTGAATTTATTAATTAACCATCTCAAAGGAACTTTAGGCTTACTCATCAAGACAGCCATGCAGTTGATAGATATTTGAGCTATATAAGCAACTCCAGCAGGTTTAAGAATTGTCAGACCTACTCTTCTTTATATAAATCCTTCTATTTTATGAACTGAGCTTCTTAGTGTGGATGTTTTCATAACTAAATATGCAATGCACACAAATTATTATTTATTAAATGTTACATTTGCTTGTTTATAACATTTGCTAATCAAAGTCTCTGGTACTAAGCCACCAGTGGTACTGATTGGTTTGTTATGAGCTTAGCAATTTGCATGAACCCAGTCATTATGGTTTATGTATCATGGTTTAGAATCCCAGCCAATTATGATGTATTCAATTAATGCCACATGTTAATCTATTACTGAATTCAGACAGATATAGTCCTATATAAATGTCTTTGGAATTTCAGTCTTATGTTTATTCAAATACTTTTAAACAAGGAATTCTTTAATTTCACTGCTATTTAAATTTTCAATATCTTGAGGATTAAAGTAACTAGTGTGCCAGAATTCTGTTTCTGTAGTTCTTCCAATTATGCACTGATTTTGTGCTTTGCTGTTTTAACAGGGGACATGTTGATCTAACTATGCTTGGGGCAATGCAGGTATCTAAATATGGTGATTTAGCCAACTGGATGATTCCTGTAAGTAGAATTAATTTTGTATTATTTTATTGCTGAGAATAATTTGAAGTGTGGATATCTATCTTTACTAAAGATACTTTCTTAACATCTGTGTTTTGTATCATCGCCCCTCCCACTAGGACGTTCTTAGTGTTAAGTGTAGTTCCTAATTACAGTATCAATTGATTGCTCAGCTATATCATATAAACATAAAATGAAAATTTGAAACCTGTCATTTAGTTTCAGGCTGAGGAATCAATGATTCCAGATTCTATGGGATGAGAATTCTGTCATGGTCATGATAGAAATTGTAATCCAAGACATCTGAATCACAGAGTAGAACCAAGGATTTTATAAAGTGAGAAGGGGCTGAACTGATGTTACGGTTAGAAAGTTTTTTTATAACATTCAGTCAGAATTTGATTGATTCTGTAATTTAAATCATTTTTCCATGGAGGAAAGAACAGGTTTTGACCTTCTATGTAATATCTTTGCAGGTTTTTGAACAGTGCTATTTTATTATCCCTCAAATATACCCAGTTTCTTAAATCCATCTTCATAGGATTTAATATCTAATCCCTTAGTCTTCCTTCTTGCTCTTCTTTGAATTTGTTCCAGTTTCTCTACATTCATCTTAGAATATGTTGCCCTGAATAGACAGAGTACTTGGGGGGGGTGTGTGGAGGGTGTGTGTGTGTCATCTGACTAAGGAGACTAAGAATAAATCATACGGTAAGATGCAGAAAGGGTTTAGCTTCTACATCTATCACATATCCATTTTTGTTTCATTTGCAGATTTAATCAACATTCCCACCTTTTCTTCATCCAAATCATTAATGAAAATATTACCAATTAAAGGACCCAGGACTAATTCTTGCATTATCCTATTTGATGATACAAGAATTTCCAATAGTAGCAAATATCTGTAGCTCGGGTGTACGATGAGGGTGAAGGTTCATTCTCTGAGCTTGTGGGTAGGTTTCTGAATGTTTCGTTACCAGGCTAGGTGACATCTTTAGCAGAGTTTAGGGGATGTCAGTGTTCTTCTGTTTATAAGGGCTTCAGGTGTGGGTGTGTCGAGTGAGGGTCTGTGATGGGTCTTGTGATAGGTCAGGTGTGAGTCATCAGTGAGTCTTGTGGGGACGTTACATCAGGTGACGGTCATTGGGAGGTGAAGTGCTGGTTGGGGGGGTTGCGTGGGTTGGTTGAGGGTCGGTGCTGTCTCCTGTTGGTTGTGCGGTTGATTTGGATTCTGAGGGGGTTCGTAGGCTGGTCATAGGTCAATGTGTCTGTTGATGGAATTGCTTGTGGAGTGCCAGGCTTTGATGAACTCATGAGCATGGCGGGTGGTAGCATGGCTGATGATTTTTCTGTTGCTCCAATACAAGAATTTCCCAATTTGATCAGGAACCGTTGATGAGTGCTCTTTTAGATATGATTTTCAAGCCAGCTTTGCAGTCATTTAATTGTCACGCAACCCAGTCCACATTTAACTAGTTTACCAATCAATATGTAATGAAGTATTTACTTAAATAGTCTACTGAAATCAAGATAAATTATGTCTACAACATTGCTGTAATCTGTTAATGTAATTTCACAGTCAAAAAAAAGAAGTGAAGATTCTGTACCTCTTCACTAAGCTGACTAACCATATACCCAGGAAATATATTTGCTTTCAGCAGAATCTCCTGTTACCCTTTTATAATTTTATTATACAGTAATCATAAGTATGAAGCATCTCTCACACTTGAGGGCTTCTTGGGACAAAGCTCTGATATATTTTCTCATTTAAAAAAAATAAAGTGCATTGATTTGTTTACCAGTTAAAGCATATTTTATTCCTTGTTCTGTGTTTTACCTATTTCCATACCGCATTCATTTCTTTCAGGCTAGCATCCAGCTATTAATTGCCAGGTTTAAACTTTAAGTGACAGGAGAAATCTAATCAATTTTCAGAGCTAAACAGTTTCATTATAAAGAGAGGTGGGGAGAAATAAACTTTAAAAATCCATTTGGCAGTTTTCTACTTGCAAGAATTCTCTTTTATTACTTTGGAAGGCTGGAGTTAAGATTCAATAAATTTCTTGCTGTGAGCCAGCAATGTGTGATATTTCACTATTGGCAGTGAAGCCTTTTCGTGCATCCTCATCTGACATCAGCTTAGCAATTCAGAGAAAAAGTAGTCTGTCTCACCCTCAAGGCTTGGCAAGGGAAGAATAAAGCTGCCTTATGATTTAGATCCTCTGGTTTCCTTGAGCTCTAACAGTAACATTAATAGAATTGCAAGGTACCTTTGAGGTCATCTAGTCCAACCCCTGCTCATGCAGAAGATCTATACTGTTTCTGACAATGGCTGTCCAGTCTCTTCTTAAAAGCCTCCACTGATGGGGCACCCACAACTTCAGAAGACAATTTGTTCCACTGGTTGATTGTTCTCACTGTTAGGAATTTTCTTCTTAGTTCTAGGTTGCTTCTCTCCTTGATTAGTTTCCACCCGTTGCCTCTTGTCTTGCCATCCGTTGCTTTGGTGAATACATTGACCTCCTTTTCTCTATGGCAGCCTTTCAAGTATTGGAAGACTGCTATCATGTCACCCCTGGTCCTTCTTTTCACTAGACTAAGTATACCCATTTCCTGCAATTGTTCTTTGTATGTTATAGCTTCTAGCCCCTAATCATCTTTATTGTTTTTCTCTGAACTCTTTCCAAAATCTCAACATCTTTTTTGTATTGGGATGACCAAAGCCGGATGCAGTATTTTAAGTGTGGTCTTACTAGGGCTTTGTAAAGTGGTATTATTACTTTGACAAAATCAGTCTGCTAGCTGCATCTTTTTTTGTTTTTATGAATGTTGTCCAATATTCAGATTCAGTAAATTAGTATAAGAGACAGGGCCTTCTCAGGACAGTAGTTCTTGACTTATAACTGCAGTTGGGACTGGTATTTCATTTGTTAAGCGATGTGGTTAAATGAATCATCACACACTGAGCTCAATTTTAAGACTGTTTTTACCATGGTTGTTAAACAAGTCATGCTGTCATTAAGTGCATCACATGATTATTAAGAAAATCCAGTTTACCCCATTATTTTTGCTTATCGGAAGCTGGCTGGGAAGCTTGCAGACTGCAGTCACATGAATGCTGCATGCTGCAACTATTGTAAATATGAGCCAGTTGCCAAGCACCCGAATTGCAATCATATGACTGGGGGTGGTGCAACAGTTGTAATTTCAAGGATGTGCTGTAAGTCATTTTTTCAATGCCATCGTAACTCTGAACTGTCATTAAACAAATGGTCATAAGCCAAGAACTGTAATGGCCCTAAAACTAAACTCTCTTGTTAATGGAGATTCATTTGTCTCTTTTCTTATCTTTATTTATATGATTACTGAAGACCCGATTGTTCTCCCTGTGTTGGTTGTAAATATAAAGAAACAGGCTGAAGCTATACAAATTCTTTATGCTTGACTATTTTTTTTTTAAAAAAAGCCTAATTGCCTTTGTTTAGCCATTGACCCCAAATATTTTTCACTATAATTTGTGTCAACCTCAGCCAGTAATTTAGGAAGAACAGGAGTGATAATCCAAACTATTTAGGAAGGAATTTGGCTGGGTACGACTGGTCTTATTCTTGCTTGAAAAGGTTTAGAATGCAGTCAGATGCTCAAGTATCTTAAGAAAGATTGCATATGATGATATTTGTTTCTTTTTAAAAAAAACATTAAAAACAAAAAAAGTATAAAATGCCAAAAAGCAAAGAAAAAAGTCAGAAAGGGGTAGGAAAAAAGCAAAATTGGGAAATATCAACAGAAGAGGAAAAGAGCTATAGAAAAAAAAGATAAGTTTTGACTTTCTTCAGTATATATTAAAAACCTAAAAATCAATGACCTTTTGAACTATAATAAACCACAACAAACAGTACTTCTATCATCATAAGTAAATTTAATAATCACAAGACAAATTTATTTTTCAATTTCAAACAAAAAAAAAATCCAAGAGCGGTTTCCAAGTAGAAATGAAGCTTAAATAATTTTTAATCAAAACAGTCAATTTCTCCATCTCCGCCAACTCCATTAATTTCATCAACCATCCTTCCATTTTGGGTATATGTGAGTTCTTCCATCTCTGTGTATACAGAGGCTTTGTCAATGATATTTGCCTTTTCGCTGGCATGTCAGATGGCATTGTAAAAATATTTTTTTCATTTTAAGTTGTGTTCCATGTGCATAGTAGTGCAATTAGGGTTTATTAATATTTATTACTTCCCTCCAACAGAAGTCTCTCACCATGCTTAAGGCACAAGTGAGTTGCAACTACTACTGGGAGCATCTGCCTGAAAGATATTAGTCTAAATGTTACATTAAAAGTGAATTAAAGAAAGATTTGAGAAGTGAATTTATGTTTGCCATCTTTTCATGTGATCTTTATTGATAAACTTGTAAAAATCAAGCCAGAAGCATAAGTGAAGCAGATGGTATAGAATAAGCTTCTTATAAACCAAAATAATAACAGAATAACAGAGTTGGAAGGGACCTTATACCATATAGCAGCAGACCCTATACCATTCCAGACAAGCAACTGCACAGTCTGTTCTTAAAAGCCTCCAATGATGGAGCACCCACAGCTTCTGAAGGCAAGCCATCTCCAGGTGACTTTGCTCCGGTGTGAATCCTGCACTTAGGAGGAAGGGTGTTCACCTCTATGTGTTTAGGCAGCTTTTTAAAAACCAGAAGCCCTGTAATGATAAATATTATTTTCTTACTGACTCATTCACCCTTCTTACACAGCCACAAATTTGAATAGCCAATTGAAAGCACCTGTAGGCAGGATGGAGAAAAGAAAGCCGAGCACAAACTGAATGCTGCAGATGGAGGGTTCACATCTTTTCCACAGGATTGCATCTTTCATGGGTTCCTGGCTTGTCATCATTTTGATGGATGAAGGACTGGGTAACTTAGGGCCTCTGGATCTGGAGAACCTCCATCATTACTTCTGGATAGGGTATAGTTCCCCCAGAAAAAAGTGTTCCATGGTCTGGGTGTCTTCCTGGATTCACAGCTCAGTAAACAAGTGGCAACTGTGGTCAAGGAGATCTTTGCAACAAATCAATTTTATGAGCCAGTTGTACTCTTTCCTGGATTGGGAGGCTCTGGTCATAGTCACTCATGCCTTAATCACTTCCCTTAACATATTGCAATGCAGTTTACATTGGTTTGTCTGGAAGAGCATTTGAAAACTACAGCTTCTCCTAAATGTGGTAGCATGGAAAGTTAGTTTTGGGTGCACCCACATTATGGCCCTGTAATACCACGGTTATGTGACTTGCACTGATTTCTAGTAAGGTTCTAAGAGCAATTCAAGGTGATGAATTGTATAGTACACAGGGCCAAGATACTTGAGGGACCAAGTGTCTGTGGTGATTTCCATCCATGCCATCAGAGTTGGCAGGGTGAACAAGTCCTAGGTCCCTTCTGTTAAATGCTGTCATCTTGTGGGACCAAGGGGACATCCCTTCCTTTCACAGCACCTGCCCTGTCGAACAGTCTCCCCCCTGAGCTTCAGATGGTCTCAACACTGAAGGCCTTAAAAACCTGACTCTTCCCTCAAGCTTAAGGGCAAGGCAGTTGGGTCTGCTATGTGTTTTTGCCTTGTGATGATGGAGAGTTTCTTTTTTGCCTGATGTCTCTCATGGTTCTTTCTAATTTTTTTGTGGTGTGTATTCCTGTTTTTATTCTTACTAGTCGCCCAGGTTATTTGATTAGGATGGGTGGCCATATACATAAACATTTTTTTTCTTGAGGCATGTATAATTAGCCTGTGTCCATTTAGGTGCGCTGACTTCTTTTTAAATGCCTTACTTGAATAGGAGCTGTTTATGTCATATTCCTAAGACCACCCTTGCTGATTCTAGGAATAAATCCAACCCTGGAAATTAGTATATCTCAGAATGCACGATGCTTTTGTAGGCTTCATGTAGCTACTGCAGCTGTCTTTTCTGGTACCTGTTGTTATTCTCAGCTCTTTCTATAGTAGTTTATTCATTTAATCAATTTATTAGCCATCTTGATCACTGGGATAGCTCCAGGCTTCATACACAAGTTGAAGATGTATAAAGCAGCAGAAGTGTCACACCAACAATACCATAAAACCGTCACTGAGCAGGATTCCAGATCATTCTGCTCTATGCCTGCTGGGAAAGTTATGTCTTTGTGGTTCTTCTGAGAAACAACAGAGTAGAGGCCATATGGGCTTTGGGGAAAAATGTCCTTCCCCGCACAGGGCTGCCACATAGAACCTACAGATAAAATTCTTTAACACATTGGTTCCAAGGCAAGCTGACTCTTCTAGGTCTTACTAGAAACTTTAAAAAAGTCTTGTAGAGCACTTTACTCCCAGAACTTTCTTTGCAGGTTTCCCTTTGCCTAAAGTCATTCAGTCTATTTAGTCTCTCTTAATATTACACTTTCACACACGGATTTCCTTTCCATAATGTTTACGTAAAACATTTCTTTAGCTGTGTAACATTAGGTGATGTATTTCTCAACTTAAGACCATAAATGAGCCTGCCCATTATAGTTGTGAGTCATGATGGTCAATTTTATGACCAGTTTTGCAGCAGTTGTTAAGCATATGCTGTGGTCATTCCATTGTTCACTATGGAATGTTTTTTCCCCAAACCAGAAGTAAATGCTGGTTTTAGGCAAAAACATAAATCACGGCCATGTGGTCATGGGATGCTGCAAACAACCATAAGTGCTCGGCCAGTTGCTGAGCACCCAAGATGCAGAACTTCGAAACCAGGTTATAAGTACATTTTGAGATGGTCTGTTGTAACTTTGAACAAGTGGCAAGTTGAGGACTATTTATAGTATGATAATTAATTAATAGAAGGGGGATCTATCATATTGAAGTACAGTCCATCTAACTAAATGTTTGGGGTTGTTGAACAGATTCAGAATTTTGAGTTCATGCTGTGAACTTCCAAGATGGCTGCTGGAGTGTTATCTCCAATCACACATCCCTGATTTACCAGAAAGCAAATTGGTGAGGTTGCTTCTCTCCCCTCCCCTAGCTTCCCAGGATAATGGGAATTAATCAGAATAGAGCTAGAAGGGATCTTGGAGGTCATCTAGTCATCAAGCAGGAGACCGTATACCATTTCAGACAAGTGGCTGTTCTGTTCCACTGGTTAATTGTCTTCACTGTTAGGAAGTTTCTCTTTAATTCCTGGTTGCTTCTCTCTTTAGTTCAAGCTACAGGATTTGCCCATTGGTTATTGCCCTTCTTCAAATTTTATAGAGAATTTTCTGTTTGGAACAAACTTGCTTTCAGCTTCCTTAGAAGAGGACTAGTGCTTGATTAGTGGTTTCTAGATTTGCAAAAATAACATATTGCCAAGGCCTTTTTTAGATAGTTATTTTGATTTCCTTCCTGGGAAGGAAAATATAAATACATCTTGCTTAACACCTTTTGAGTACTGGTACACACTGAAAAGTGTTCTCTCACTCTTCTTATCTCTTTTAATCAGCAAATCCCCCCCCCCAGCATCCCCCTTCCTATTCCTTTCATTTGCATACCCAGAATTAATTTTAAGCATCTACAGGATGGAACTCGGCAATAAAAGAAAAAAATGATTATACATAGAATATGTTGAGATGATGCTAGCATCATCTGTGTCTTACAAATTAAAAATAATAATATGAAAACCTGTAAGCATAACATGTAATAAATGTAAGCAATACAAAAAGCAATAGAATAAAATCAGTATAAATGTGAAATGTCTATGTTCTTCAAATCAGCAACAAACAGGATTAATATAAACTTGTTTCTTTTTATTTAAAATCAATGAAATTTTTGAGCTGACATCTTGACTATACTGCTGCTATAAATTGGCAGATACACTGAGCCTTCAAGCAAACAAGCAAATCTTAGATTATGCATCTCAAATGTGAAATTATATCTGCTTTAAGACAATAGAAAGTTTGTCATTTGCCTGTTGACTTTACTTCCTCATATTGAAATGTGTCTAGTAGTGATCCACTTCTTTGCCCCCTTGAGACAAAGAGAATGCTCTTAATATTTGGAAGAATTAACCTTAAAAAAAACCAAAAACTTTTGAGATACTTGTATTTTAATTTATTTCCTTCCTTCCTTCCTTCCTTCCTTCCTTCCTTCCTTCCTTCCTTCCTTCCTTCCTTCCTTCCTTCCTTCCTTCCTTTCTTTCTTTCTTTCTTTCTTTCTTTCTTTCTTTCTTTCTTTCTCTAGGGAAAGATGGTGAAAGGAATGGGTGGTGCCATGGATTTGGTGTCTAGCTCAAGAACTAAGGTAGTAGTGACTATGGAGCACTCAGCAAAGGTAAAAAAAACTTTTTTTTTGAGTAAAATTGTGTATTGCTTCTATTCTTTACGTACTCTATAGACAGTTTCTCTCTGTATCATGGCATTGTAGAGGAGAGATGTGTTAGCTTGTTGAAGTCAAAAATCAGGGGTTCATTCTACTCCAGATTCTCAAGATAGCCTTGGTAAGCTCCTGAATGTATGGACATGATAGCACAGAAGGAGATAGGTTGGCCTTCTGCAGCATAGCATGGTTTTGATGTGTTGTGTGTGCACCCTAGTATAACTGGAAAGGGCCAGGCTACATAAAACTGAAATTAATTTGTTAAAACTTATTAATGGCACAGTGGAAATTAGCAGGATTGAGAACAGGAAATGCAAGGATTAAAGTAGTCAGATTTTACAAAACGTTTTGTGAGCAAGTCCTATTTTATGTAAAAAATGAACCTAGACTATACAGATACCGAAATCCTCCACGAAAACTTCAAGAGTAAATAAAGAGTTGTACTGTATTTGTAGCATTTGAAAAGTAACGTGCTTCTGATTTTGAAGCAAGTAGCACTCTTGAAAGATTATGATTTATTGGAGTGACATCTGTGTTCTGTTGCAGGGCAATGTCCACAAAATACTGGAAAAGTGCACTTTGCCGATTACTGGTAAACAGTGTGTGGATCGCATCATAACAGAAAAGGTAAAGTACTTAGTTTGGTTACTTTTAGTTCAATTCCTTTCTCATATAACCTAAAGAACTTGGGAGGGGGGAGCCTTATTATCTTCATAACAACCCCGCAGAACAGAGCAGGCAATAAATTGCCCAAGACAAGCCCTTGAATAATAATATTCAAATATTTTGCTCAAATTACCATTTTTATCTTAGTATCAGAAAAGAAGGGCAAATGTCTGCATTTTTGCTCTGTGTTATTTTCAGTTCAACTAATAAGGGGAAACAGCCTGAAGTTTAGAATTGATATATAGAAATCTATATTTTAAAAAATTGTTTCTTCATTTTTTTCTTTTCAACTCCTGTCTGCTTCCCCTGTGTAAGCTCACCGAGGAGGAGAATTAAAGTCTTTTCAACTGGAGCTGTCATTCAGGCTATTGCTCCAGGGTGCCTAATTATGTATGGCTTGATTCCCCAACCTGGCATGTTTTGGCTCTGCTGGCTCAAAAGTATAATATAGACCATCTGTGGGCTTTTGGCTGGAAAATATGGATTTCTGACTGGTTCAGTGGTGGAACAGTGAAAGGGACTCTAAAGGATTTTGAGATCTGTTTATTTTTGGGTGATCTCTCATTTTTGTACAGAGTTTCTTTTTCCCACCTTTTCCCCAGTTTTCTGGGAAAATATTAGACTGTTCTGCTGAAGCAAACCTTTCATTAATGCTTTGTGGTTTTTATCAACAGATTTCAAGGAAGGGACTATAATACTCTTTTCTCATACTGCATGATAGCAATCTGTTATCATCTCGCTGTTGCCTAGCTGTACCATCTACACATTGTTGATGGGGAAGGATGTCTTTATAATCGTGCAAAAGCTCTTGACAGATTAAAAACCAGCCTGTCAAGGAAATAACTGGGTTTAGCATTTCCTTCCATTCTTCTGGTTTTTATATACAGTGGGCTTAAATATAATGTAATTACTTTCAGATACTTAACTCTGGTTGGCCTCCCCCCTTCCTCCATGCTTACTCTCCCTACCAAGTAATTAATAGAGGCATCATATGGCAACAAGTATGACATATGAGTTTGGGAATTCTAGCATCAATACCCAGTTTTCTTGAGTGAGTGAATTGCACATGCTGCATTTAAAGTAGGTGGACGGGGAAAAAACATAAGTGTAGGAAAACAAAGGAGCAGGCAACCATACACCAGGACTTGAGAACAGGGATTGGTTTTCAGAGATTGAATCAGCCTTCTAGGTCAGGAGAGTTTTCCATTCTAACTAAACCTCTTTACAACTTATTTCAATCCTTTAGGCTGTTTTTGATGTCAATAAGAAAAAAGGACTGACGCTGATCGAAATCTGGGAAGGCATGTCTGTAGATGAGATTAAAAAATGCACGGGTGCTGACTTTACTGTAAGTCTCTAACTAGTTAAATATAGATGAGAAATAAATTGCTAAAGAAGATGGGACTCTTTTAGTCCCTTGCTCTTGGCTAGTGCAATGCAGGCTGATGCCTTTCAAACATGAACAACAAAAGGTTAATAGCTGATAATAGTTCAGGTTTTTTTAAAAGGCCAGTTGTGGTATAACCTGTCCAGACTAAGGAGAGGAAAATATTTGTCTATTCAGTTTGTTAGAAAAGAGGGTTCATTGGCTTGACTTGATTACATTCATAAGATGCTGTGAAAGAAGATTTGTGTAACTGACCATTAAAGGAATATAAGCATATTTAAAATACATAAAAGTAGCTGATTGATCTGGGTAACAACATGGATCTGCAACACCTCTTTTTGGCACGTTTTATAAACTAAGGGCTCAGCAACTGAAGCTCCAAACCTCATATCTGACCCTCCACGAGATGATAGCTTCTTGGCCGGCAGCTACAAACTTATAGGCATGTAGAATATAGTGTACAAAAACAGGAAGGGTCTTGGCCTTAATGATTTGCTGAAAGTTTACTAGTATTGATCTTGTGTTTTCTTCCCAGAAGTCATATTCTTTTAAAAATTGATGCTACCCAAGGCTATAAACCTTTAAATGTCAATAATGTGTTCCATCAAGCCATCAATTAAAAACATAGTTTTAGAACTATCCTTATTTTTAAGATTTTATGTAATGATGTATTAATTGTATGCAATAATCTTAGTGGTGGCCTTGAGATCTTGCCAGGCATTCTTACAAAACAAGACCAGAAGGAAGCATTGTTTTCTAAATTACATTAATATGCTGAAATCTCTAAATTAAATAATGCAGAAAAAGGCAGAGCATGGTAAAAATCATAATGCACAATTATGCTGTAGAAACTTAAATGTGGAATCAGTGGTCTTAAACTGGATTAGCATCATACCCAAACCCATAAATCCAGTCAAGTTCAGACCTTTATTTGCTTACACCTAATGGATAGAATCTTGTTAAACTAAAACCATAACTTACTAATTTACTAAATATACAGTGTCTTGAGATTCTAGGGTGCTTATCTTGAATCTCTTGGAAAAAAAATTGATGGCTTGATGGAACACATTGACATTAAAAGGCTTACAGCCTTGGGTAGCACCAATTTTTAAAGGAATCTGATTTGGAGGAAGAAAACACGGGATCAAAACTCTCCCTCACTTCTGCAGGTGCACATTCCATCACATCTAAAAAGAACTAGAAAGAGTAGACAATTTGTGGCCCTAAAGCTGCCTTTGACTTTGGCCTAATTTCAGTCTTTCTGCCTACTCATCCGTTGGAAGAGATCAATCAAACCTCTCCATTAAAAGCTCTTTGTCTCAACCTGATGCCTACTGTTTATGGGTAGGAGTAGGGAGACAAAGTGTCAGAAAGAGAAAAAAAAGGTGTGAAAAATAATGGGTGCTGACACCAAGCCCTACCGACTGCTTGTTTCAAACCAGGTGGTCTTTGCCAGATTACTGCTGAGAGAAGACAAGAGACGTTTGCCCACACTCTTGCTATTCAAGCTTATGCATTTTCAAACCCCAGTGAACTCAGTGGGATTTTAATGGAAGAGAACAGAAACCAATCTACACATGGATTAATTTCCCCAATCTAGTATCCTCCAGATGTGTTGGACCAACTCCCAGAACCTTCATGTTAAATATCTGAAGGACACGAAGTTGAGGAAAGCTATTGGAAGCTTATTGTTTGCTTCAGTGTGCGGAGACAGTGGTGCATGACAGAATTAATACATTTATTCCTGTTCCCTTCTGCTGAAATACACGAAGGGACATCAGTATGCGCTAGAACGTTTATTGCCTCCAGCACTTAACATTTTTCATGTTGTGATTACATTGTTGTGTAGGCATCAGTCATAGATAGAACTGTAGTTCATGGATCATATTTGATTAAAGACAGGTGGCCACTTTTTAAGAGTTGAAAGCAAGTTGTGACATGACAGCATTGGTGTTAGGGCAAAGCAGGAATAGAAACTGAGAACATGAAATCTTGCTGGGTCTGTTTTACTTTGGGAATTGCATTGCACATTCAAATCAGTAGTAGTAGAACAAAAATTTAGGTTTGAGACTGTACTCACATCATACACTGGATGCTGTGCTTTCTAACCCAGAGCTGGTTAAAATCAGAAAGCATCCAAGGATGTATGGAGCTCTCTAAATGAGCACATGGGAGATATGGGGCTCTTTCTCCCCTCCCTTGCTGCCAAAAATGAGCATTGACCCATCATTCAAGAGAAGCAGGCAAAGTCTTTATTTTGAATTATTTTATGCAACATCGTTATTTTTGGTCATTGCTCTTGTCTTCATTCTTGAATACTTTTTCTCATGAAAAATAGAATTTGCATAATACTTCTTGAGTGTTCAAAACAATCTAATAAAACTGTTAATTGTTATTATCCTCACATGGCAGATAGTTTCTGGGTACTGGCAGCTTACCTAAAACTTGCTCCATCATCAATTGGTAGTAGCTGACATCAAACTATAGTCTGTTGGAAAAATGGAGCTGTGCAAATGAAAAAGCTGTTTGTTTGTCTAAATTAGGACACAAATGCCAACTTGAGTGTCCTCCAGGTTAAGGCACTTCAACTCTGCAATGTTTTTTTTTGGCTGGGGAATTCAGGGAGTCTGTTCTGTCCCCGTCTCACACACACCCAAACAGCCAGCCGAGGGTTAAATAACCTTCTCAGACACTCCACGCCACTGATAAGGAACTTGGCAGCAACTCCATAGCTTCCTGCCAAGAACTTTTTTACTGCAATAACACAGACAAAAACACATACAGTTTGAATAGTCCAGTTTGTAATTAAATCCACAGCAAATAGGCGTTGTGTCCAAAGGTGCAAAGTGATTCGCCAGAGATTTAGCTTTGTCCGTCACAGAGTCCGAATGGCCACCATACTCTCTTTTATAGCCTGTGGGGTGGGGTCCAGTGACTCAGCTTAATCTCTGGCACGCCTCCTTTTCTGCTGCACACGCTTGTCTTGCCTACGCTGGCGTGGGTCCAGCCACAACGTATCTTTGTCACTATCCGACGGCTCGGAAACACCTGGCTCCTGGCCAATCTCTTCTCCGTCGGGAGACACCTGAGGTATTGCCAGAGAGGAGGGTCCTGGAGAGAGAGGCCTGGTCATCTCCTCTCCTTCATGTTCGGAGCCTTCTTCCTCCGATAAGATGGGCTCACAGGACGGAACCACAACAGAGTCAAAGGCCACATAAGGGTTTAGAACAGGCATGTCAAACTCGCGACGTCATGTGATGTCGCACGACGTATCGTGACTTTTCCCCCATTGCTGGCAGTGCGGTGGGCGCGGTTTCGGCATGATGCATCTGGCCCGCGGGCCGGCAGTTTGACATGCCAAATTACAGACCCATAGATTTAGAGGCAGAATTAGACCTAAACATTTACAATACACTCATTGTCTCCCATAATATGTGTTTGTTCTGCCAGTGCTTCATATACCTGAAAAAGCAAGGTATTTTTTTCTATTTATATGAGGGTTCTAAATTATTTTTAGTACTCCAGTCCAGCATCATATTTATTTCCAAGTTGTTTTGGTCCCATCAGTATTCTTAGATAATAAAAAAAGCAAGTGACTATAGCACAAGGTTTTGTTTGGAAGTGTCCCCCAAATCTCAAAATCAGAGTTCAGGGCTTCCTGGTTCATGATACCATAATTTGTACTTGTTTCTCCTCTCCCTTCCTTTTCTGGAAAGTTGAAGTTGAAACTCAGGTTTTTATTGGAGGCAAAAGCATTGTGTTTTCTTTGTCATCTTATCACCATTATAAACACTGAATAGTGATAGTCACTGGCTGTAATCAGTAGCTACTTTAGAGGGCTGCAGCTATGCTGGGAATTATCTGTCAATTCATTTTTTTTTCTCTCCTTTCTTGACAGGTTTCGCCAAACCTCATGCCAATGAAGCAGATTTGAAACTGAAATGTAGACTGGTCCTTTCTTCCATACTTCCAGGGAAGGGGAATCAAATGTCTGTTTTTGCATTTATGCATTATCCAGAGGTCTTTGTAAAGTTTCTATTTAAGTAGTTAGCATCAAGCTGACTTGTGAACATTTATTTGTATGCAGCAGTACAGTACAGTTTCCAAATTTAAAATTTCATTAGATATTTTTAATTACAGTATTGCAGGTTTGACTGTTAATAAACAGTAGTAGAGGAAATGACTTAGTTAAGATGATCATCTTTTGTTTTCTTAAGCTGAAATATGCACAAACTTTTCCATACAGATAAAACTGCAGTTAGGTTATAGTTACCAATTTCAGAATGATCCAGCCATTTTTGGTGCCTCTGAATGTGTCCAAGGCCATATATGACTCTTTTTATGCTAAGGTTACTTTTACATGCAGACAAGCAATTTGAGAGCTACTACTACCACTACTACACAGACACATTCACAAATCTGAACACAAACAGGCACATATTGTTTACCTAAAATTTGTGACTCACAAGAACTTTGGACATTTAGATATTATATTTTCAGGGTTGCATTACTAAAAGACTACATAAGGGCTGTTTATATTCTCTGATAAAAAAGTAAGCATTTTTAAACCTCTCACTTACTCATCCTGTGAAATACAAATGTGAGTTTAGATGACTGGAGCATATATTTGCTTGTTGAAATCTCAGAACCCCCAAAGTCTAGAAATCTTGTTTCCAAGATTTGTAGTAATATATGGATTCTGTTCTGTCTAACATATAAGCACTTTCTGATGGGTTATCCAGTAGCACTTACTTGCTGAAAGCATGAATATATGCATTAGAAATTAAATGTCTGGAAGGATAAAATGTGCAAGAGAAATTGGGGAGAAAATTGCTTAATTTGCAGGAATAATACTGGCTGCAGCATCTGTCAGTCCTTTCGTTTGGATTGGTTTGGCACAGAAATTTATTTAACTGCCAAATATGTACGGCCCTGAATTGTATAAGAAATGTACAATGAATTGTCCATCTTGCACATACCAGAAGCTTTGTTGCAATGAAATTTTGTGATGATGCTGTTACAATTACTTTCTTTTTCTTACCAACCTTATTTATTCAATTGCATATATTCATACATCTAATGTGTGGATTCTGCGTTTTCACTAATACCAAAAGTTAATTGTTCACATAGATTTTTAATTACATCAATCTAGGTGCTGTTTGGAATTTGACCTTTTCCTTTAGTTTTTCATATAATAGCAGATAGCATCTGCTTTTCCTTTTTAGTCTGAGAGATTTCAAAAATAATCTTTCCTAGGTCAAAGCTTCTTTCCTTATTTCTTTCTTTCCTACCTAAGCACTGATTGCAGAAGCATTAAAGCTTGGCCAGATCATTAGCATCCCAGTGAGATATGTCCCTGCCTTTTTATGTGACAGTGCAAAGGAATCCGGTTGGTTTTCAGTAACAGAGTGGCTATTTGTGAATGCAGTCTGATGTAGATCTTTTTCTCCTTCCCAAGAAGCCCTTCTGATCTGAAATACAGAAATTAAGGAGCAACATCTCAGCAAAGATTTAGGGTGATGAGATCTGAACTTACCGTATTTTCCGGCGTATAAGACGACTGGGTGTATAAGACGACCCCCGACTTTTGAGGAGATTTTCAGGGTTTAGAAAGTCGTCTTATACGCCGGAAAATACGGTAATTTCTGTGTGATGCAGGAAGCTTTGAATGCCTGCTTGTGGGCTAATGAGCAGCTAATGATATTCGTTACCTTAGGGTAGTGCTTCTAAACCTCGGCCACCTGAAGGTGGTTGGATTTCAACTCCCAGAATTCCCTAACCAACCTGGTGCTGGGAAATTCTCGGAGTTGAAGTCCACACATCTTCAAGTTGCTGAGGTTGAGAAACACTGTCCTCAGGAGGAACAAGCATTTTGCAGCAGGAGAAGACTGTTTAGGGGGAAAACATAAAGAGATGCTGAAAGTTATTAAGAATATGAAGCACTTCTGGCCTCTCTTTACTCTTTTTTCTCTTCTTTTTCTCAATTATTAGTTTATATTAGTTTTTCTCATTCTATTTTAACATTTAATAAAGTTATGCAAAGAAGTTTCACCTGAACACAAAGACCATTATGAAACCAATAGAGTAACTTGAAGTCAGGTTCAAAGGAAGCAATCTGCACAGAAAGTATAATTAGCAGGACACAGTAGTGGCTTTTTGACATAATTGGATGATGATAGCAAGTCCTAGGAGCACCAATAGGAATGAATAATTTGCAGAAAATTTTGAATCTTACTGTTCAAGTCATCTGGAGATTCGGGAAAAGTGCATATAACATGTGAGTTCTTCCTCTAGTCTGGTCCACCGATTTATCCAGAGACCCTTCCTGACTGTACACCTAATATAATAATAGTCCTTCTGTCCTTCAGTAGAATATTTCTTTTTGACTCTTCTTTTTCATGCTTTGTGTTTGTCAAATGTTTCACTCTGCTCATTGATAAGGAATAAAAGTGAACTGAATAATGAATGTGTTGTATACTGTATGTTCAATCTTTTGTATACAACTTTCAAAACAATAAAAGCCACAATGGTTGTGTACTGCTGTCACTGTTGTTAAGTATGAACTTGCTTGGTAGAAATGCTTTATGTCCTGCATCCAGTCCTATCCCTCTGAATCACGTTTAATAAACATGAAATGCAGCAATGCACAAGTTTGGAACCCATAGGCTGTTCTGGGCATGTGAGAGATGTGCCTGGACTCGCATCTTGAACAATTAGGTGGGGTCAGGACAAAGACCTAACCAGGGCTAGGCAAAATTTTAAATATGCTTTAATATACTGTATATATTTGAACACCAATACTATTACTTGCTATAGTTTTCCCTTTCTGTCATATTAAAATTCAGTTTAGCTCAGCCCACAGTCAAGTTTTGGGGATAGCGGGTTACGTATCTCTGATTAAACATCTGAAGCAATTTTGATGCTTTGTGATTGCCATCCAAAATGGTAACTCTTCTAATTCTAATTGATCCCCAGCAAGTTCCAGAACAATTGTATGCCTTTCAGTAGGGCTTATTCCTAAGTTAGTTTGCTGAGTATTCTTGGGATTTGCAGCTTCAGCTTTAACACTGCTTAAAGTCAAGTGAACAAAACCTATTGTGTAGCTTAATCTACCAGTGTGATACTATAAATTAATTTTTAGTTTCCTGTAGCTGTGTTGCTTGTGAAACATTTGTACTACCCAGCCTAAATATTATACACACCATATGGTTATCCTGCTTTTTGTTTAGAAATAGCTACTCGGGGGTGTATTTCAAGCAAGGCTATTTTGGCTTTGTTCACATGACACAGTTATCCATGATTTAGTCAACCACATTTTCTTAGTTTGCCACACCCTGAGTCATTAACTGTCCATATGGCCTACGTTTGCACAACATGCTAAGCTAAAATCCGTTGAGTAGTTTATTGTGTATTGTGCCAATAAAAATAGAAAACATTTGAGATTCCTTAAGCTTGCTGAATTGGAGTTTTCAGCTTTTTACTTTTCAACCTGCCTGGAGGATTCCTTTGAAAAAAAATGCTATTCAGTAGAATGTAACTTGTGAGGGAATATAGTTATTGCTGACTGGAAACTCCTTATGGATTTTTTTGCATAAAACAGAAAAAAACTAATTTAGGATTTATGGTTTTGGTGATTAGATAGGAATTGAAGTCCACACAACATTGTGGGGGAATTGGGATTTCAATTCCTAGAATTCCCCAGCCAGAAGAGAGTTATAACCATAGAGTAAGAAGTAAGTTTATAATTGTACTTATTGTAGATGTCAACGCTGCTAACATCGAATGTTTTGCATTGACAACAGATGAAAATGTAGCCATCTTTTTCCCTTTCGCTTTTAGAGTAGATGATACTGGGAAGGGGGGGATGTGAATGAGAATCTAGCTGGACATAACAACACTAAACGTAGCCTGAGAATCAAGGTTATTGTGCCCAGAGCTGATAAAGAATTGGCGGCTGGAGAACTGGAGAGGAAGCCCGTGCTTCAAGCTAATTGGGGAATGTGATTTATGAGTATTAATTGGAGGAGGGAATTATTCTTTGATACTATGTGTCCAGGGGAGGGGAATTCAGTTTTTGGCTTCGATTATGCAGTGCCGATATTATGCTACTCGAATAAAAGATTCTTTAGGTAAACAATGCCTCAAAATTCTTTTGAAGAGTTTCATCTGTCGGAACCATAACAGTATAACTTATACGTTAAATAAGTTTGAAACTACTTCTTTGTATCCTTTTTCTTTCTTTTCTATTTTTCTTTTGCTTCTCCTCAGCTTTCTCTTTGATTTCTTTCTTTTCTATTTCTCCCTTTATATGAGTTTTTATCTTCTTTTTAAAGTATCTAATAAAATTATGCAAAAAAACGAAGGGATCATTTGAACTGGGCCACTGAATGGAAAAATAACGCAGAGAGACATAAAAGCCAGTGACATTAGGAAAATTGAGAGGAACAATCAGCTCCTTCAGGCATAAAAGACAGCAATTTAGATTAAATAGCTTCCTGGTTTGGAGAGACTGCATGCAGGGTTACTCACACGACACAGCCACTCCAGCTATAAACCACTGTGTAGTAAAAAAAACTCAGTGAAATACAATTGTTATTGGAGTACATGCAGGAAAGTTAATGTTATTTGTCAGATGTTATTTTTTCTATCAGAGGGAAAGCATTCCCACATGCTTAACCACCTAAATGCTTAACAACATAATAGAGGTAGAAAGTGTATTGTTGCTATCAGTGCTAATGGATGTTGACAATGGTAGTCAACTCTCCTATCACATCAGATTGATGGAAGAAAAAAAGTGCTTCAACTGAGTTTCTAAAAATCCTGCGATATGACAGTGAAAGAGCACAGACTAAGGAAATGAGAAATCACATTCACAGGCTTGATCACACTGAAATTTTGGCCAGAAAGAATCTTTTCCTGCTATGGCAACCTTATCCACTATCCAATCTGGGTTCTTAAATGTATCAACCCACCATTCCCATTTAGCTGTTTCAAGGCTTGTAATATGATCATCTTAAGCAATGCTGATACTATATCCCAATTCATAGCAAAGAAAATGGGGAAGATTTGTAATGATGTGGTCAAACTTGCAAGTTGTTGCTGAGTACTGAGCATATGTGATCTCTGTGATTTCTATTCTATTCTATTCTATTCTATTCTATTCTATTCTATTCTATTAATGTGGTTTCTTCTATGGCCTTGTTTGCAAGGCCAATAAGAGGTCAATGGTATTGATAACTATAGCATGCTTATTCCCTAAAGTAGCAAATAATATGGCTGTACAGTTTGGGAGCAATGGGGTGGAACTGCAACAAAACTTAAATCTTCCTCTTTGACAGTAGCTAGGGCCCAAGTCTCCTTAACTCTGTTTATGTATTGCAACAACTACAGTATTA